CCTCTAATATCTTTGGATCGTTACTATTGAGTTTCTCATGCCTCAAGTGACACCAACACAAATTAACCCAGGTTTCTTATTATACTATACAACAAAAGCAAGCACATGTTTAAGGTTCATGTGGTGGGATTAGTTGTCTATTAAAAGGCAAAGATATTTAAGGAATAATTCAGTGCCAGCTTTGATGAGGTAATCCATGAATAATGAATGGATGGGATCTGTTTGCATATCTAAAGCATCAAGACTCGTGCCGATGTAAGCGGTGCATACTTCCAACACATTTGCTTTCTCATATGTTTAACCATCTTTGTATACAGAGATTATTATTCAAAAAGAAATGAAAATATGTTAACACTGTATTTTCAAGAAAAAATGAAGCTAATTTGCTAAGAGACACAATTTGAATTCTTGCGACTTATGTAGCACGTTAAACTGAATATGACAACAGACATTATTCTCCGTCCCTTTTATAATAACACCATAAGATTTCTTATGATATATTTGGTACGTTAAACTAGACATGACAACAGACATATCATTCTCGGCCCTTTTATGATATCATCATAAGATGGAATTCTCATACAACATGATGATTCTTAAAGATTTCCAAGTTATGAATTGCCTTGAGGATATTCTAATCTACAATGAACACTTTAGACAAATTAAAATTTTGACTTACTCTCAGCATTGAATGTGTTGCCCACAATGAAAGCATTAAAGACAATAACATATATGACCTAATCAAGTTGGAAGTGCAAGACAAGTACCAGAAGCAAGATTTGAAGCTTAGATCATCACCATCATAGTTTTATGAATAAAGCCAGGATAAACACTAGTAAAATGCATAATTTATAATGGAAAGTTCCCGGGCGGAGTTTCAACCTATGCGAAATGTAGACAATTTTGTATAATTAAGGTTCATAGTGGACAGTTTCGGTCCATCTGACCATTATGATCACATATTCGATTTTCCCCCGAGGAAAACTGGTTTTATAGCAGAATCAGTCATTGAAAACTACGTGCTACAAAATGAAACGTTGAAAATCCATAAACATTATATGAACCACTTCTCAGGTAACAATCTCCATCTTAAAATTAAAAAATCTCACCTATAATACTCAGGATTGGGATACTTAAGAAGGCCAAATGTTCACGTAAAGGTACAGAAACATTCGTACAAACTTTCAAGAATATCATTGGCCAAATAATTGAGTAAATGAATCAAATAATTCAATGCTTACTCGAGTGAAATCATAAGAATATACGAACAGAACAAGTACGCCAGGAAATGTAAAAATATAAGACAGTCTAAATATATTGCAATATGCAACAAGATTTCAGAAGTTAACATCTAAGCACCAAAAAGATGTAGATGGATATATAGATGGTGAATTTATATCTATACATCTTTCGGGGCTGGGGGATGGTTGATGGGGGAAGATTGTACCTAGCGAGAGAGATGCAAAATACTATGAAATAAACATCAAGATATGGCAATATGTCATAACAGATATACTTTATGTAAAGGGATGACAGAATTCAAGAAATTCGAAAAAGAATTGCAGCCACGGATTAATAATTGTCACAAGACGTCAAATTGAAGTAATATTGCAATAACATTAGGATTGTTATTGTATCATAGGTGCTATAAGTACCACTCCATTTAGAACAAATAGGAATGGCATCTACATGACTTCTAAACTAAAGAAACAGAGAACTTAGCAAGTAGATATGCCGGAAATCGTCAACAAAAGGTACAATTATGTAGTCCATGGATCTATATTACCATCTCAAACTTCTTGAAGACATTATTATAATATCGTTATTGCCAGATTATTCATCCATAGCTGCATAATCGAGAATTAGCCAATCCTTGCTTCACCCTTCAGGCACCACCATCTTCTTTGATATGCTAAAGACTCAATTCAGGCGGCTGAGAACGCTGTTTTCAAGGAGAAGGGCACAAGGAAAAATTCTCGTCTTGCTCAGGAGGTAAGATTTCTTTCTACAAGATCATGAGTCGCAGGTCTCTTTTTATTAGTTTCTACTTGCGGCATGCAATTTTGCTGGAGGAGCCATATTGATCTACAAACTTAACAATAACTCGATTGCTTATTTTCAACACCAGAAGCCGACATGGACACGAATGCTACATACAACTTGTTTACAGTTATGGAAGAACATGGAATTGGCTGATTGAAACCAGAATTGAAGACTCAGTTCAACATGCACAGATCGAGATATACATGACTGCCACAAGCATTTAAGCAGTAGTTCATTGTATGAAGCCTAATGCCAATAGCTCCACCTATCAAGAACAGCTAACAACACAGAATTAATAGGAATAGGTTGCTAAAGTAAATACTAAATGTTAATCCAAATACAGATTTTCACAATGCCTAAAAGCCAAAATGAGGAGAAAGATTTACCCAAATTCAATCATCCCCAGTTGGAAATAGGGTGAGGACTTTCCTTCCATTTCCAGCCCTGGGAGACTCCAAATCCTCGACATACAATGGAGGCGCCACTGAACCATTACTACTATGTACCTGCGCCCCCACTCTCTGCACCTGCTGCTGTGACTGCCTTATAAATGGATGCTCAAACTGCCCGTTTGGCAGTGAGGTCCCAAAATGCCTAAACTGCTGCTGCAGCTGTGGATGGTGGTGAGGCCCCTGCCCCGGCCCAACCACTGCTGTCATTTGATGCTGCTGCTGCTGCATTGCAGCCACCGGCATAAAGGGCAAAAAATGGTCGGAATTTGGCCTTCCTGGATGCAAAAAATGTGCCGGAACAGGTGAGCTTGCGAACAAATGATCAGTAGGATCCACACTAACATTATTCCCACCAACACCACCACTCCCATTACTGGAAATTCCCTGCATCCGCTTCAGATAAAGCCTGTATTTCTGCAAATGGCTAGCAACATTCTCTCTAGTAAGTCCATCCACACTCATCAGCTGCATTATAGTCTTTGGCACTGCATTCTTGATCCCCAAATGAGCCACAGCATCCACAAATCTCTTATGCAGCTGAGGAGTCCAAACAAGCCGTGGCCGCTTCAACGTCCTAGCCGGCTCGTCCGACCCCACGCCGCCTCCGGTCCCAGCTGCTTCCCCATCACCACCCCCTCCTGAACCACCCAACTCCACCGAGTCGAAGTCAGCAGAAGAGTTAGGTTGAGAAGAGTGCGCGGTAGTCTGTAGCGGCGGCGGAGTGCTTTGATGGTCGTGATTTGGAGGTGGGTTTCGAATATCAAAAGCCAGTGCTAGATCAGGGGTTATTAGGGTTTGTGATAAAGGCATCAATTCTTCTGGTGATGGCAATTCCTCTTCCCATTTTGCAAACCAATTCGAATCCTCCTCCCTCATCTTCAATACACTAAAGACTTTCTTGAATTGGCAGTTTATTGGAAATCAAACACCATATGGGTTGATTTTCTTTTCTCAAGATTTTGTCAAGAAACATACAAAAATTCCAAGTGGGAAGCAAAAACAGTAAATTGCAACGAATTTGCAGAGATTTTTTTCAAGAAAAATTTCTTCTCTGTCTCTCTCTCTCTACCAACAAAGATACAATTTCTGATTCACTTGCACAGAGCGAGAAGAAGTTAAAAAAAAAAAAAAAAATTATTCTCTGTGTGTGACTGTGAGTACATGGAGGAAGAAGGGTTGGGTTGGTGATCGAGGTGGATCTTGTTTAGCTTTTATCATGGGTACCGTTTGTTGATTCCAGTGATTTTTGTGTGCAAAGGTTGCATTTTTTTCTTGAGAGTGAGTGACCACTGCTAAAAAGATTTTTATTTCACAAACCTATACATACAAATGCTGTATCTATATCGTACATACATAAACCACTTATATGTCCAGTAGCGTGCACGACACGCTTCAATCCAATTGGATAATAACATTGGATATGCTTTTGGAGCTATTAATGGCTTACCTGGTTTCGATTATTTGAAATGTTTTTTTATAGTTAAAAATTATTGTGCTCGAAGCATTCTTAGAAAAATTCATTTTCTCATCAGTCACACATTTTTCAATAAAATTATTTTAAATAAATTTAAAATTATTTTTATTTTTAACCATATTTTTTCATCAAATCACATTATTAAATATTTAAAATTCTCCATCAAAAATTCTCCTTATTGTTTAACCACACATTCTTTTATCAATTATTATTCCAAAATTTATTTATTTTTTTCAAAATAGTATCAAACACATCCTTGATTAGGTAAGTATTGTGCTGTTAGTGGTTCTTTGTGACTACTTTATGCATATAGGTCCTATTATTTATTATTAGGTGGGAATATTTTGGGTGCTCAATGTGATCTGTGGGGATATTAGGGTTGACTTTAATTGTTTAAAGTGTAATTAGAAAGTTAAGAGTGATGTAATTTGATTAAGTGAAATTAATATCCAACAAAAGTAGTTTTAAAATAAGCTAAAAATTAAGGCATGGTTTAGAAAAAATCAATAATGTTCAAATAGACATCCTACCAAATCAAGCATCTACGAATAATAGATTTTAATATCAAAATCATTAACTTCTACGAACACTCCTGACCCTGTTTGACGCACACTATTTACTAAACTTAGATGTCAATCTCAATCTATGAACATTCATATCATGTTTCTTACCATGTACTTCAACAAACATTAGATTAAGGAAGATATTGAGGGCCAGTTTGATGTTGATTTTTTTAGAATAAATTTTGCGAAAAGATTTTTTTAAAAAATGTATAATTAAAAAGTATGAAAGGTTATATAAATTCACGTGCAAAATGACTACATTTTATTGTTCACCATTAGATGACATTCAAAGATCTCTGAAGTACGCAGTGACATAGTCGATACATAGGAGAAAAATGCATTGGAAGTTGTAATAACGAAAATTTGAGTACTTTGAAACAAATTCAACTTTGAAAACTGAGAGAAAATGTTTGTATCAATGAAAAAAAAGAATCATTGAATAAAAGTTTCAAGCACCCTTGAGCATTTTTACGACGCAACCAAAAGACACTGGGCAGGTGGCAGCAAGGCAACAGCCCCTCGCTCTGGACTCGAGTATTTCCTGTAGATCACCTTCAGTTTGTGATCTGCAGCCATCGAATGGAAGCTAACCAGTAGCTTAGCGCACTCTCTGCTCGAAGAATTTAAACGAAGACATGTATAAATTCTACACAAAACTTAAAAAAGATTGAATTGAAAATAATAAAATATGCAAGAAATGATCTTACATGAGTTGTAGCTCCGAGAAACCCGTGTGCACTTTAAGTGTCTCGGTCCATACAGGCGCCTTATTTAGGGTGCATCTTGCAGCGTAGACTGATGAGGCAGCAATCATCGATGGACAATGCATAACAGTGGCATAATTCATCATTCCGAGCTCGGCTAGAAAATAGACCATGTTCTCCATCTTATATGGTTCATAGTTGTGTTGAGATATACTTGCATCAGAATCAGGTAAAGAAGCTTTGATGAATCGTACTAGGAACACATAAGGCGTGGGAACTGTTATGTTCCACTCCAATTCACCGATTATGCGTTTCTCCATGCGCAAGACCTGTTCGTTTGTGTAGGCTCTATCTGATATGCACACTAGGTCATTGACCTGCAAAAATATTGGTTAGTTCATCAGAATTTTAGTTTCAAATGTTTATACCAGTCGAAGAAACTTTAGTAACTACCTCAGGGGCCCAAATTTCTTCGTATTTAGAAGCAATAAGCATCGAGCTTATGCCTAACAACTGAAGTTCTCTCCTTGATGTTGTCTTTACAGCGAGATAGCGATCAACAATGTTGATAGTCAAGTAAAGAGTCTCTGGCGAAAGCTCAAATTTGTGGTGGACTTGAATCAACCAATCAACCAAAATTGCTCTCATCTTCTCATTTATCTCAGGTTGTGAATCTATATAATCGTGAACCCGACTTTCATTCTGTAAAGGCCCCGGGGAATTTATTATTCGATCGGTCCAAAATAGACAAGAACAAAACTAAACGAAGAAGTAGATACCTCAACTAGCTTATAGAACTTGTATATTTCTTCAACATATTCCACAACTGCCAAATCATTATTCACATCTGCAGCATCAATATCAACTATCAGCTCCTTCGGCTTATAATTCATCGCACAAGCAGCCTGTTAAATGAATTCAAATATGAGAGGGAAATAGAATAAGAAACACAATTTGTTAAGGAATCATATGTAACCGAAAAGTCGACCTTGCTTCGAGCAGTGAGAGTTGATGTAAGAGTTGGAGCTTTCTTTTTCAATGACTGTTGTTCAGTCTTTTCCTTATTCACTACAAGCCTTTCCTTCTTAACTTCGTCTGATTCAGAACTAATATCGATTATCTCCTCGGGTTTTGGCTTCGGTTTCGTAGTAGCTTTTTTCTGGGCTGGTTTTTTCACCATAGCTTTTGGCATTGCTCCATCTACTGCAATGCCACCATTGGCATTAACTGTCATTGAATTCTTCTGAAAATAAAAGACACACAATTAGTGAGCTCAAAATATAAATTATAAAAGCAAGAACACAATTTATAAAAATGTAAACCTTGTTGTTTTCAGCTGCTGCAGCCTGTGCATTTGCCAGCAATTGCGCACAAAAACTCCTGAAATAGTACAATAGACAAAATTTTAACTAAGTTGCTTCTTTAATACCTCGAGCATTGTCAAATGAAACGAAAGAGAGAGTATTTAACCTTGTAACAGGGCGACAGATTTGAGGCAGTGGCTTGCCTTCAATCTCAGGAATAGTAACCCGATTCCCAATGTCACCAAGTGCTCGCCGATTTTTCCTCTCGGCCGCCATGTTCTTCTGCTTATTGGCACCCCCGGGGACTACCACCGCCTCTGTAAATTGAACATGAGAATTAGAAATTGAATATTAAAAAAATCCAAAACAAACGAAACCCTCATCAGGAAGCCAAAAAAAAAAATGATTTGACTTGTGTAAAATATTCAAAATCATTCCAAGAAAACTTCATATTGCTGACAATTAGAAGAAATAACCAATGAAGAAACCCCATTGATGCATAAATGTATGACAGGATCTCATGAAGAACCCTGATAATTGTAAAATTTCAAATTAATTTTTCACAATTTTTCGAAAAGTGTGATCAAAATGACAAGAAATCAACATTCAAAACTGAAAGAAACTAAAATCAAGAAATAATCAAGAAAATTACCAAGTCATAACATTTACGTACAGCCAAGAAATCCCGAGAACTATTCAACTCTTCATCAAAATAACAGAAATCCTAACATCTTCATTGAATCAAGTGGACATTAATGTCTTTTTACATCAAAATCGGAAAAAACATCAAACTCGTCATACCTCTGTTTTGCTGTTGAATCATCTGTCTTGAAGCCATTGCGAGAAAGAAACCTTAACAATTCTTAATCTCCCTCTTCTGGTCCTCTCTCTCTCTCTGTAAATCGCACAGGGAAGGAAGGAAGGAGTGAGAATAGACCCTTATTTGAAGCTGCACATTAGGCGCTGCAGACCCAACGGTCTTATTTTTTTTGAAATCGTAGCCGTTGATCAGTGGGAGACAATGGCGTTGATTAAGTTTCAATATGCCTTACTGCGCTTTTTGACCGTTGAGTAAATATTGTAATGGTTCTGATACCACTACATCTCCATAGTTTTTCGAGAAACGCTTAGTAGCCCCACTAGATTTACAATCTCAGTTTAGGAAGTGGGAATGTGACATTGAATGATAAGTAAAATTAAATAATCAATTTAATTACATCTTTCAATTGACATATCAACTAGTGTCATCTAAACTAGAATTGTAACCAGTGATTAGGGGTGGACGTGGGTTGAGTTGGATTGTGTTGTGTTGAATTTGTTTTGAGTTCAACCCAAATCCAACCCTACATGTTCGATTTAACAATAATTCAAACTGAAATCGAGTATTCACAGTTGAAACCCAACTCAATCCAAACCGACCAAACTCGTGTTGATTTGGATAGAGTTGATTGGTTTGGACTTGAGTACAATTCAAGTTGGAGAATTTTTTTTATGGGCCCAATAGTTGAAACTTTTTTCGTTGAATTTGAACAATTTTTTAAAGTTTGATATCATTTCAATTTGGATCAATTTCAGTTACATTAAAAGGGGTAATTTGAAATAAAGTTGGATCAATGGTCTGTGGGGTTATGTTTCATTTCAATAGAACAATATAAATTAAAAATATTGTAAAACATGTTAAATATATTATATCATAATCAAACTAAATACATATTAAGGCTGTGTCTGGGATTACTTTTTGGAGCACCAAAATCCATTTTTTGCCCGTTACAGGCAGCCATTGTTGACCCACTCTCTCATGAGTGGGTCCCACGACAAGTTCCAACGGCAGTATTGTTGCTTTTAATTCAGTAAAAATCGGAATTAGACACTCTAAATCAATCTAAATATATGTTGAATACCTGCATAGTATACCTGTTGAATAAAATGAATTCAACCTAAATACTAAAAATGTTAAATCATCCAAATTCAATACAGAATCACTTCCTTCAATTCAAGTGTTTATTCAAAAATCACATTGAGAAATCAAGTCAAAAAGCTGAGGCACGAACATCAATGAGAGGTAGAAAAGACAAGAGGCACGAGAGAATTTTGATAAATAGATTTTAGGTTTTTGGTTTTAAGTACTAATTTAATTTTTAATATTTTTAAATTTATTGGGTTGGGTTGGATTGGGTTGGGTTGTGTTGAGTTTGATTAAGTTTTAATAGATAACACGGAACCCAATCCAACCCAACTCGATCTAAAATTTGATTTTCTAACCAGAACCCAACCCAATTGAACTAAAAAACCAATCCAAACCAATTGGTTTGAGTTTGATTAATCGGTTTGACTGATTCGAATTAATTTTTGCCCAGTCCTATAAGTGATGCTAAATAACATTATTCTAATTTATCTTATGAACTTGCAAGAGAAATCCAATAAATTATTGGCACGTAGAGTACCAAATTGCTTACTAGTTTCTTTATCATTGCATAATATTTTAAATGAATTTTTTTTTTAATTTCACCCCTATTCACAAAAAGACTTTAAATCGACAAATCTTCATTTTACTAATGAGCATATTTACTAAATAATCCCACAAATTTTAAGTTGATGTCACGATTGTTAAGGTGAAAATTAGTTTATTCTACTCAAAAGTCCACTAGTATGTACTTCACAATTTTGACCACAAAATATAGTATATTCTTGAGCTATAAGCCCCATCCAAACATGTTCTATGCCATTTTCTCCACCCAAGAATAGGAGTGAGCAACCTGGTTTTCAAATTCAGATCAAAATAGACCAACTTTTAATAACCAATTTCCAACTGATGTATCTCAAAATCTACAACAAAGTGGAATCACAATATGTGCATTAAACACAAATAAACAGGAATGCTACAAAAACCAAGTCAGCAACAAAGGACCATCAAATGATTAGAAACAAATTGTTACAATCAATGATTAGGCAAAACAAAAACCATGCCTAGAAAACATATGAATCATTAGTGGAAGTTTGATTACAATTACAAAAGACATCAGCTCCAAACACAAGCAAAAAATGGAAAAAATCACACTTGAAAACCTTGCTATACTTTCGCATTAGTACGAAACAAACAAGTTAGTCTAGTTTAAAGTAAAGCATCGTCGTCTGGTCCACCAAGAAAAACCTGCCATTAACGAGTTCATGTTACATTATCGCAAATTATGATGTTCTATGAGAATGAAAGTGTATCAGATGTGAAAATAGTGAGAAATATCTGATGAAGATATAAAAAAAAAAAAAGGGCTTAGATGACTTAACAGGAGCTAGCGATAAGGAAATCAAAAGCTACTTACGTTGCAGTCGAGAGCGTATTTCCTTGCAAGAATAAGGGCGCCATTTCGTTCTCGCTCAGATTCGAAAACTAGCACAAAAGATTGTCCTTTCCTTGCTTGCCAAAATAATGACTTGGCTGCAGAGTTGCCACCTCCTCTAAATCCACAGAACTGAGGACAGGACAAGGTTGTAAGTAATGCAACTCTTAAAATAGATTTCTCAAATGTTAGTTCTTTGGATTATCCAAAGTTATAGCCGTCGAAAAAGAAACCAAACTTATTATAAGTCCTTGTAAACATATGCACAATACCAGGGTATCCAACTACACGACCAGCAGCAATGGCGAGAGATCCACTAAGCCGCCATCCAATTATTAAAAATGTGCAAGTATCATGCCTTTGACGAAATCAATAACGTTGCACATGATGGGGCATGTGAAAACACAAATTTTCTTTTAAATAAATCAGTAAATCCCCTCGCCAACACCTTAAGCTTCTAGATTAGTGGTTCAACACTAACCATCATATAAAGAATGTAGGACGTGTGAAAACACAAATAAAACATTATGTGGGAAACGAAAAATGTGTTTGTTTGTCAACCCACATTTCTTTAGGTCATTGTACTCATCGAGAACTGGATTAAGACAGCAGCTAGAAGGAATACCTGCATAGATTTGGAATAAGATTCTCTAGCCTTGGTGATCCATCCTCTACTAAGCTTCATCCTCGTTTTTCCAACCTGAAATAAGTGTGCTGAATGCGATGAATAATTCCGTCCATTCATCTGGGAGATAACTACCTGCAGAGCAAAATGTATTAAAATTACAATGAGATAACAGTCCACAAGTACTAACTTTGATTCCCATTTGGCAAAAACTTGATTAACATTGTGCAGATTTTAGGCATATGATTTTCACATTTTATAGAAATTAGTGATCGGCGTATGAAGCATATTCTAGAAGTTCTTTTCTTGAATAATAGAAACTATTCATGTGGTGAAGTGCACTAGCAAGAAACAAGGTCACATACACTGAATTCGTAGTTTGATTTCCTGGAAAGTGTCTCCACGTAGTTCCCTAATTCAGCAGCTGTGGGAAACAAGGAAACAACTTTTTAGTTTTCTGCCAGCATTGAAAAATTTATAAAGAAGCGCAAGAGTTAAAAACGGAACCTCCTATTATGGTATCGACAATAACTACAATTGAGAAATGTTGCAAGAGGTAAACAAATCATTAAGCACCAACCTTTATCGATAGGACCATTCGTAGTGATTGATTCTTTTTGGCCAGTTGAGATGATATCAGCCTGCAAAACTCGTCCAACATCTATGGGCTCTGGAGCATAAACAAATTTGTTTGCACCTGGTAAAGATGATTATAGACTTGGTAAGACACATAAACCTATTGAGACAAAAGGATGATGAAGTGGGAATCCATCACAATTCCTTAATGCAGAAAAGTTTAGGGTATTAACTCATGGTTTTTCAGGCTTGGTACAATCTAGAGGAGTTCCAAATTTTTGAGAAAGAAAATGGAACTTAATACAGAAGGAAAAATGATACCTAAAATAGCCTCCCGTCGGCTGCATTCAGAAGACAAACGATACCATTGTATCGAGCATTTCGAAAGGTCTGTTGCCTCATCCAAGCAGGGTTGAATTCGTAAAATTGAACCTAATCTTTCGGGACCACTTAGCTCATACAATCGGGATTTGTTTTCCTCAGCCATCTTGCTCATTGCCAACTGAAAATGACCAGGAAATAAGTCTTTCAAGTAACAAGAAACTCGTAGAGCAGATATCCTCATTTACTAGTCACACAGAAATAATCGTGCACCTCTTTGAAAGGGAGTGAATTTTTTGGATGGGGTGGACAGAGAAAGTGGGGGCAACAGAAACAAAGACAAGAAGCTATTATCTAAACTAAGACTTTCTATAAAAGAAGTCTGACTGAGATAATTGAGGAAATTTATGATCAACGTATCGTGAACTTATTTGAAAATGTGAAGATGTACTTCCTTTTCTGAATCCCTCGCATTCTATCCCATTTTACATAGCCTAGAGTCCTATTTAAGGACTACTACTTTAGAAGGGTAAAAAACATTGAATCCATGATTGTATCAATTTTAACCTTTTTAATGTACTACTGCAAATAAAGGAGACAAACGGTGCTGATGGATTTAACTTTTCACAAACAGAAGTAAAAAATAATTCAATTTGCAAAAGATGGCAAAGAAGAGAGAAATAGCAAACCTCTTTTCGAATGTCGAATGAAATTTTACATTTTTCTCTAATTTGAATTCTTAGTTCTCGAAGTTCATGTTCCATGTCCATCACCTATATACAAAGAAAATTCTCCTTACAATAAAGAAAAATATTTTAATAGAAAATAAAAAATCATAGGCCAGTAAGGTCATGTTAAAAAATTGTACACAAGTAATGAGTTTTTGAAATAGAAAATATAGAACAAAAGTCAAAGAGCTCAAATTACCAGTGACAATACATAACCAAATGTACCTAAATGGAAATATAGAAATAGAAAACAAACTAGGGTGCACCTTCCGGGGCTGATGCAGTAATTTAATTCTTCTGGCCTCTTGAACCTCCTCAATCAGTTCCTCCATCTCCTAACAGCAAGAAGTAAACCAGTCCAACTTCAGCATTACTTATGAGAAAATAGACCTCAATACTTTGAAACTATGAATGTTAAGCAGCAGCAGACTAAAGTTTCTGTTGACGTCTTACATAGGAAGGAATTTCCTTCAGCATTGATCATGTACGAGATGCTCTATTGGAAAAAAATCCACTAGTGTGTGGGTGTGAGGGTGAGCGTGAGTCTGAATGTGAATGTGCGCGCACATGCATAAGATATTTAAAGTGCGTTTGAGAAAATAAAGATACAAAGCGAATTGCGACCTGCTTCCCTGAAGTTTGAGAGGTTTTTTCTTGTTCATCGAGGGCCTCTCCAATCCTTTGCACAACTGCCCTAGCACTCTCAATTTCAGCACAGGCAAAAGACTTTTCTTGGTTAACCAATTTTTTTGCATCTTCGGAAGCCTGAAAAGCAAAGCAGATTCATTTTTCTGACATACACTGTGAAATCAACAGGGAAACGAATTGATATATATGAGCGAGTCTGCATGCAGAGAGTGAAACGAAAATGAAGAGAGTGATAAATCCGCATTGCCTGCTTGAGAAAGTTGGCCAACTTTTTTACTTCAAACTTCTCTTGAATTAGCTCTCCTTCTTTTTGAGTCAACTTCACTGCTAAAGCTTCGACCTGTAGAACCGAACCATCCAAACTCAAATAAGTAAAATTGTAATGCATCTTTGCTTGGAAAGGTTGCAAAGTGCCAAAGGATATCTAACAAGATGGAAGGAAGTGCTAGATTAATCTTCAATTTGTATTATGTTCGAGAGAATGAAATAAGTTATAAGGTAATGTATTCTTGTGTTTTCCCAATTAATTTTCAATATAGTAAATAGCCCATATGATGAACTGGCACCAAGGAACTTAAACAAAAATCACTTAAAAAATTTTGGTTTGTAAACAAGATACATACCATAGAAATAGCTTTTTCCACATCTTCTTTGTTACGTCCAGCCAGTCGTCCTTTCAAACATTCCAATGCATCCCTAAGCTTCTTCAGAAGAACATGTCCCTCCAACGAAGGCACCTCTCTCAGTTTAGCCTAAATTTTAACAATTCATTGAGTCATCAATTCTTATCCAACGGAAAATGAATCAATAGGAGAAAAGAACCCAAGTTCCTATCTATTTAGCAACTATCTATATTAAACGACTATATAAACACCGACATTTAGCAGTTAAAGAACCCGATTTTTGCATATGTGAGTTTACAACTTGAACAACAATACAAATTGAAAATTATAACTTCATTAAGACCTCTTCAGACAATTTTGCAGCAGCAGATAAATTCTTGTCGAATTTGCTCGCCAAGTCGCGAACTGAAAGCCTCTTGTGCTGCTCTGTTAGCTGGTTCGTTTCTTCAACAACCACCTCCTTTAGGGATGGGCCCTTAAAATCCTCCTTCACCTCGTCTAAAATCTCATTATCCGGTCCTAATTTATATTTTGGAAATTGATTAGACACAAAGCTCACATTGACTGACACTGGAAGAACTTCCTGCTCTTGATCCCTGCACTCTGGACTTACCCTCGTCATTGTCCAGTTTTATTTTCTGCTTTCCAGAAAAAAAAAAATAATATTCTCAGAAACATCAACAAGATATCCAGGATCGAATGGAAAATCAACTTCAAATGGTAATAATTAGTCAGTACTAAGATGCATATTCATGCTACTCATCAGTACTCACATCTATTCACAGAATTACACAAGTTGTATACTACAAGAAAAAGAAACGATTGAAATACATCAAAAATGTAATCTCGAAAGCTCCAGTGCACTTGAAGGAGAAAAGGATTGAAGAACTGAGCCTAAAAGAAGAAGAAAAAGGCTAACAAATAAATAAAGGAGCATTGGGTAAATCTGTTACAAGAGTACGACTCTTTAACTACTAACCCTCAAAAGAAAATGAAAAATTTTCAGGTTTTCCATATAATGACTTCTCGGTCTGAAAAAGAAACTGAGTATTTATGAAGAGAAGAAACATTTTTAGCTCAATAATCAAACAAATAACATCAAATTAAACAAATGAAAAGAACAAAAAGGTAACCTTTCAAAACCCCAGAATAAGTAATCAAGAAATCTAATTTCTGAGAGAAAATTACAGTGATTGTTAATCTTAAACATGAATTATACTCCAAAATTCATATAAACAGAAAAGACCTAAAATTTACCGTTTCAATTAATATACAGACACAACCTTTAATACATATTTATGAAGGGTGCCTCCAATACAAGTAAGAAAAGATGATCCCATTCCCCACATANCAAGACAATGCAGAGAATATTACAGTTAAAAATGTTACATATTGATATGTTCTTCAAAGAATTTAGTCTAGAGAGAGAAATAGATACATATCGAGAGAGGTGTACGTCTGCTTTTTGAAAAGCAAAGTGAGAACTTAAAAGGAAAAGCTTCTTCCTGTCCTCTCTTCTGGTCCTTCCCTCCCTATGTTCTCTATGCTCTCTCTTCTCTCTCTCTCTCTCTCTGTTTTTAAAAGAAAAAACTATTGGCAATGCTGCTTCACTTTAGTTAAATGACCAAAATCTCCCTTTTTTTTTTCTACCGTTTGATCTTGGTCTCGGTCGGAGTCTCAGTTATAACATATTACTCTTTATGTATAACATAAAATTTACTCTTTTTTAAATGCTATTTGTGTGTTTGACTATTTATCATGTTTGATACAAAAAAAAATCGTTTTTGACTTCGTGCAAGTACCAAAATATATAAATAATTGATGAAGTTCACAAATAATGGTACAAGAATAACCAACAACGAAGTGCGTAAAGTTGAAGTTTTCACTATGACAAGAAATTGGGGGCAATATATATAATTTTTTTTCACTTCCAATTTAGGAGCAATATGAATGCGAAGAGAAGGTTTGTCATATTGGATGCCACCACTTCACCCCAACTCGTTAAAAATAGGCTTCACCTCTCGACAACTCATTCATAATTTGACTTTAAAGAAAAAGTAAAGTCCAAATAAGTTGAAAAGTACGAGTTAAATTTTTTTTTTTTTGTCCATGACAGGAACAAAACTCATTTGAAAAGGTAAGTCAAGTCATTCACAGCTCACTTTAGGCATTGTTGTGTATGGGTCAAGTGTATTAATGTTGAGTGATCGTAGGCATTGACGAATTAACATGCTTTACATCTCTAATTTTGCATTACGAGGTAAATATTTGAGAAATGGTCTGTTTGACAAACATTATTTTCGAAAACTTTTTTTTTTTCCCATATTCATTTTTATCTATAAATTTAAATTTTTTTCTTACTTTTTAACTATACAATATTCTAAAAATCAATATTCAGGACTCTATGTTTTTCAAATAATGATTGTCAAATATGGACTTAGATTGATCAAATTTAGAGGAATCAACCATTTTATAATGAGCCGATTTAGAGGGAGTGAGCTTTGGATAATAAAAGAGTATTGATTGACTTTATTGTGTTAGTGGTGACCAAAGGACTGGAACATTAGTCAACTCACGAGTTCGGTTCATCACAACTTGATTTATGTGTAGTTCAGATTCATATTGAAATGAATCATGGGTCAAATCAAGTTCAATTCTTTGATGAGATAGCTTGTGGATTGACTCGGACTCAACTTGAGCTCACATGAGCCAATTCAAGTCGAGCCATCCCGGTTCAATCAATTGCCATCCCTAAATTTGTGATGTGGAGGTTAATATTGGCAATTAATTTAGAAAAGAGTGTCGAAAGTCATTTTGGAAGTGCCCATATGTATTCATTTTTCACACGTCATTCAGACAACAGCTTAAAAATACTCGGAAGTCATGATGGTAATTTCGTAAAAAGGTCGTGGTTCAATAGTAAAAAAGGACACCACGCCCTGTCCCCACTCGCCTTAATTAAGTCCCCCTTTACAGCCAAAGGCCCCGAACAACGCAATTATCGATGCGTTGAATGGCGCGTGAATGTGTGCGCGTGCGATTGTAATAAACCCGTTTTGGCGGGTCGCGTTTTGCGGTTAGTCTATGATTCAGATTCTGCATTCTATGCGCTGTTATTTACTGAACTGCCATTGTGTATGGTATCTGGTGGAGTGGTGGTTGCTGCGTTTGTCGTTTTAGGTGAGGTGACTACAAGTACGTAGGTGACACGTGCACCTTCACGGTTGAAATAGTGGGATTTTTACATAAGATCCGTTTGGCATAATTTTTTAGAAGTTATAACTTTTAAGATTCAAAAATTGCTTTTGAACGTAATAATGGTTCTTCTAGACTTGGAATTCTCAATAGAAGAGATTTTAGGGAAAATGAGTTCGATATGACATTTTCTAAAAGCTTCTTCTGAGGAAACTTTTTTTGAAATTAGTTTCCAAACCCTAATTTAAGTAAATTATTGAAACGAATCTTTAACATTAGAGTTAAGGCTCCGTTCGGGAGGGATTAAAAGCCAATTAAAATTGAAAATATGGTCATTATTGGGTCCCACTAGTCTAATAAAAGTCAACAATAACGACTATATTTTCAATTTTAATCTGATTTTAATCCCTCCCATACAAGGCCTAAATATGTAGTTGTAGAATAATTTATTTACTCTTGAAAACATTTCTTGTATTTATTCTTGAATTATGATAATGTCCATGTTTGGTAAAGATTAAAATCAAATTTTTAATAAATTTTGATAGAAGTTAATGAAATATGTAATTGAAAAGTTGTGGATCCTATTAAATATGTGATTAAAATTAATTGTTGACTTCGACTTAAATTAAAGTCTTGATTTTAATTTTTTACCAAACAGGGACAATATATATTCGTAAGTGTTGGTACAAGTTCGATACGATTTGTCGAGTTTGATTCGAAGATTAGGGGGTGTTTGATACACATTTTTTAGAAATGAATGCTTTTTATAATGTGATGTACTGAAAAATATGTGGTTAAAAAATAAGGAAATTTTTTGAATTTACGTGTAATATTATTTAATTAAAGAATGTGTATTTAAAAATGAATTTTGAAAGAATAATTTTTGAGAAAAATGTGAAACAAACAGGGCCTTAGACTTTAAATCAAGTTAGATGAGGGTTTGTCGATTGGTTTTGACTGAATAACAAACTAATCAGTGTCACGGAGTGTCACCGTGTTGAGCTTTTATTTTGGAATTGGGTCCAATCGGATTGGTTGGTCAATTGGTTATCTTGTTGTCACAATCGCTATTTATGAATAGAATATTACGTAATTTTTATAACAACGAAATCAATTGTCTTATTGCACAAGTTTACGTGTAAAGTATATTTCTATTGAAAATTTTGACGAAGAGGAGACATCTGTCCAAAAAATGGTTGTTTCCTTGCAGTTGGATAGAACAACTCATGCCTCGCTCAAAAAATTTGTGCAATACATTGTTGTTTTCGACAAACAATTTGGTAAACAATCAAATTATGCATCTAATGTCAGTACCAAACAATACTGATTGGCATCCAAATGCTTTTTGTCAAGTTTATTCTCGACACTAGGTATTCGTAAAATAAATTGTACCATCTTTCACATTATCGGAATTTTTTTTGCATGGTGGGTCCAATAGTTTTGAGTGGTGTCACTGCCTCCTCCATGGGCGAGGGATTATTTTTTGAGAAGTGTTATGTGTACATATGTGTATACATAGGGGATGACATAATATGAGTGGAGTATGGCTCACGCTACAGTATCGTGGGTCCCACCCTACTCACATTATGTCAACCTCTATGTGTGCACCTATGCACACATAGATTAATCCAATTTTTTTTTAGAGAAATTTGTAGAGAAAGGGTGTCGATCTCCAATTTTACCAAAATCTATTTACTAATTTTTCACGATATCATGCAGGGATCCAACTTGATTGGCATC